TCTGAAATCAAAAATACGGACGTAAAAAATTCAATAAAGTTTAATTTATGTATTTAATTTAAGTCTTAACATAACAAGTTAGCTTTAAAATATAATAGAAAGAGATACATTATTTTGTGGAATTATTCCGAAAGTAAAGATGATTTTTCAACCCAATTCTGCTAAAGATACATTTTTAATATTCTTATTAAGAATATTTTTATTTTTCGGTATGTTTTGTTTCTTCCAAAACTTTTCTTCTCACATTTCTTACCATCTTTATATGCACAATCCATCTGAAAGACTCCATCTCCCTTAAAGACTCTACCTATCTTAAAGCGAGAACCTCCTCTTGAAGACATTTTTCCTTAATCGACTATACTTGTTTAATGGACGTTACATTATAAACCTAAACATTAATTCTGACCCTATGGCCAGAAAAGGCAATACGCAAAGAGAATAAATGATTCACCGTCTCAGAGTCATACCGTGACAGTTTAATCGTCATATTCATGTTTTTCAAAGATTCGTAGTATCGTTTTCCGCCCTGGTATCGAATACCAAACACATTTAAATGGATTAAACATTAGTTTTAATCACAAAATATAACTCCTCATTGTTCATTTGACCAGGTAATAGGATCTTCATATCGAAATGCGAGAATGCGAGTAACAATTTTAAGGCAAGGGTATTTCATGTCCATAAGCACAAAATTAATATATTCAATCACATTTCTTTTTTATACAATATGTCGTCCAAATCAATACCTTTAAATCAAATTTGTTGCTCGTTTGCTGTTGAATGTGTTTTCTTTTTCACGAATGTGAGCCTTTTTTGGTATTCAAATTGAGGAAATTTTTAAAAAATCCAGCATTCAGTGACCTAGTAAGAGGGTTAACGACTTGAAAACTGTGTTTGTTATTTGTTTGAAAACTTACATATTTGATAGGTATTTTCTAACGAAAACGCTAAGTATGGTTAAGAAATGAGGTAATTTAGGTGAATGATCAGCATCAACTTACTAACAAAAACGTGGAGAGGTCACTTTTTGTTCAAATCTTTGAAACGCTCTTTGCCGTAAACGCCATATTGCTCTATTGTTTTGTTGTTGCAAAAATTACAAAAATGTAATTTTTTTAACATGCCTCTCACGTCATTAATATTTACACTAGCGGCAATTTGTTCACATTATTTTATTTGTGAATATTTGTACTTTAAATATTGTGAGATTAAGTTTCTCGAAAACTCGAACGTTTTCTGTGAAAATGGGCCCAAAATTCTGCATTTAGAAACGCTCAAGTGTCAGTTTTTCAGAAACTAGCTTTAAATTTTTTCTTCACACTTTTCCAACATATTGTACTGTTTAATATGATATAAAATTAATTTTGCTGTTTTTTTGTTTTTTCAGAAATTACACAAATGTATTTTTTTTAAATATGTCACAACTGTAATATGCTTATTTCCAGCAATTTGTAAACACTATTGCATTTGTGTCTGGAAGTGCTTGAAATTACTTCCTACGAAATTTTCCAAAAACTCAATTTTTTTAGAGGGCTTTAGATTTTCCATTATTAGTAACGCTAAACCACCAAATTCTTAAAAACACCTGTAAATGTTTCATTGAAAGTTCCACAAACAACGAGCTTTTACTCTTCTCTGATATTTTCAATGTAATAATTCTGTAGTAAGTAATAATTCTGTAATAAAGAAGTAATTTTGCTATCAGGAAACCAAAAAATGAAAAAAAATGAAAAATTACTTTGGGCGCTGATAGATGGCAGCTGGCAAGACAATGTGGCAAGTTCGAATAGCTAGCCGAGACTAAAAAAACTATTATGGGTATGTCTGTGCCATTCTGCAGCAACACTAGTTTACTTTTTCGCGCTTAAGGAGAGACTTCTTGAGAAGAGATTGTTATGTAATACTGCACAAAATAACATCGAATTTTCGGCAGAAAAACACAAGTCCCTTGTAACGAAAAAGTGGATCCAGTTGCTAAATTTAGAAAAAAATCCCCTATCACCTGGTGAAGTCAGCATCCATGTTTTATGGGCCCTTGATACCAAAATATAGATTGACGGTAAAACATGTCTGTTCGTTTTGTTTTTGAACCTATCTTTTAATTTTCGGGGGGTACTTTACATGAAGCCCCCGGGTATTTTTCAAAATGTTCAAAAATATGTTTAAATTTTGTTGTTGGATAGTCTGAAGGACGTTTAGGAAGATGGTGGAGGTCTCATGTGGATTAAAATCACTAGTGTTTCGAAAATTGAAAAAATAAAAATGTTTTCGGTGTCTTCCTACAACTACAATTATGAAAATAAATTTTTCTTAATTGAATGTATTCATCAAAAATAGATTTTCAAAAGGCCTTGTTGGTATTTTTCGAGGTATTTTTCAAAACTATAAGTATTTTTTGGGCAATTGGGCATCAAACTTGGACGCCCGACCTGAAATTCCTGCGCTTTGTCATCATTATTTTAGAAGTGTTTTGAGGCAGTTCGATTCGGCATTTGTCAAGATGAAAATGTGTATAGCATTATGATATTTTTATGGAGTGTTATTGCATCTGTTAATGCATGTTTGGAGTTTTTATTCAGTATTGGTTTGAGCTGATTTAATCTAATTTTGGCCTGTTGTATTTAATGTTTATGTGACTTTCCCAGTTGTGTATTCTGTCAAGATTTAGTTCTAAGTATTCTATATGATGATTTGATGGTGTCCAGTTTATTTGGATATTGTTTATTAGTAGTGGGGTGGTTGGGGTAGTCTGAAGGACGTTTAGGAAGAGTAGTAGTGGGTTAGGTGGGGGACAGAGAATGGTCTTATTGAACATATTTTTGCCTTTGATTTATTTGGGTTTAGTTTTATTTTCAACTTTATTGCCCATGGGTGATATGAATATTGCCATATCGTCGGCGAACTTTGCAAGTTGTGTGTGATGTATGATGGGGATATCTGCTGTGTAAAGACTGAATAGCGGTGGGGATAGTGGTGAGCCTTTCGGAAGTCCTGCTTCTATTGGGCGTATGTTAGAGCTATGATTATCTATGGTTACTGTGAAAGATCTGATATAAATTGTGTGATAATGTTTAGTAAGCATTTAGGCGTTCTTATTTTTTTGAGTTTGTAGATTAACCCGGGGTGCCAGCCTCTGTCAAAAGCGTGAGATACATCTAGGAGTATTGCTATTGGTTTTTCTTTTCTTAAAATGCTCTTAAAATGCATTCAGTTATCCTTAGTAATTTGTGCACAGTTGAGATGTGGTTTTTAAAGACAAATTGGGGATTTGGAATGGATTCTGACTTCGTTAAATGATTATTGAGTATTTTTAATATTAATTTTTCAAATATTTTTAGAATAGTTGGAAGCAAACGTATTGGTCTTTAATTCGCTGCAAGACTATGATTTGTGTTTGTTTTAAGGATCGGGATTATATTTGATATTTTCCAAGTTATTGGGAAATAACCTATTCTGAGTGTTGAATTATAGATGTTGTTTATTTATGCGATTGTGGGTGTAGGTAGGTTTTCTAATATTTGGTTCCTAATGAGGTTATGTCCAGATGCCTTTCTTTTGGGTATTTTTTTTACTTCGGTAGGTGAAATTAATTTTATTATTTGAGTGACTTAATAATTTGGAGCTCCATTAGAGTAAATTATTGCCTGGTGGTCTGGATGTACGGGTGTGTTATTAGGTTTGAATGTTTGAGCGAAATACTCTGCTAGCGCTTCTGTCTTATCTTGTGAAGCACATTTTATACCTTGTGTCGTGATGAGTGTCATGGTCCCATCGTTGTAACGCCTCAATGATAACAGGCCATAAAGACGGCTGCCTTTCGTTCGCGAAAATAATACTTTTACATATTTGTAGTATATTACAATACCGTAGTGTTTAATAATTACTATTAAATATTTTTCGATCTATTTGCATTTGTTTTCCAAAGCTGTCAGTATCGTATTATTTACGCTGCCACTATTTAATTACATTACTTTCTTGCATACTGATTACGAAGAATATTGTAAGGCTGAAAACTCATATGATATGTTCATGAATAAACTGCATACTTTATGCAATGAATCCAATGCCAAAACTATATTTTCAAAGTTTAGAATAAAACTCCATTGGTTGAAAACATTTCATTTTCGCACCAAATATTCTACGATTTCAAATGATTTTTACAAAAAATGATGACTGAGATGTGTTAATTTGGAGAGAAATTGTGGTATAAATAGTACTACATCACCATTACTAATGGTGAGAAAGTATGTACTGTTTTAGAACCACTAGTTTACTTTCTCCCTACGTAGTAGAAAGGTGTGCAATGCTGCACAAAACGACGAATTTGCTGTAGAAAAACTTTTATTACAGGATGCTGGTAACGGAAACGTAGATAAATCCAGTGGTTAAATTAAGAAAAAATATATCACGTCGTGTAGCCAGTACCCATGTTTTGTGAGTCTTTGATGCCGAAAAGTTAAATGATGGCAAAATGTCTCTCTGACCGTCCGTCTGTAAACAACGCCAGCAGTTAAACCGTTCAGCCAATTTTCTGCAAAATTGATATTTCCCTATCGCCTTGGCTGATGTCGCGGCCCCTTGAATTTGAAACCGAAATTTTAATTGTGGGGGTTACTTTACACAAAGCCCCAGGGACATCTTCCAAATTTTCAACAAAAAAAATGGATTCATTTTTTTAATGTTATTTTTGTACAGTGTGAAAGATGTTTTAAGAGAATGATGCAGGTTTCATGTCCGTTAAAAAAAACAATTTTTCGAAAATTTCAAAAGGTCAACATTTTTTCTGAGTCTTCCTAGAACTAAAATATTAAATTATAAATTTTTCCCTTAACGAAATCTCTTCCTTAATGATAGATTTTGAAATAAGGTCCTGTACAAGTTTTCGAAAATTTCAGTACTTTTCGTGTAATTTTGCGTGAAAGCGCAGGGGAGAAAGTTGGTGTGCTGATTCACCGCCACTAGTTTTTTATTTTTAATTTAATTATTTTTTGTTCTTCCAGTGATTCGCATCCAGAGCGGCGCGCCGCTGCACACCGTGCGGCTGCCCGGCTTCCCGTCGCACTTGTTCCAGCGCGGAGGCGGGTTCGCGCTGCCCGGCTTCCTCACGGGCTTTGACTTGGCCCAACAGAGTTAGTGCCCTACTTATTCTAACAGCCGCCCGCCACGTTCGCTCCCCTCCGGGACCTCCCGTGAGTTTCCGCAGCGACGGGAACTCTTCGAAGCCTCGTGGGTGGCGATCTCTGGCGGCGTGAGCATGGTCGATTGGGAATACAAGTTGTGAAGCTTCAGGACGCGAAACAACTTATTGTGTTGGAAAATAAAAATAGAAATGTTTGTGTATGTATGCACTTGCTCTGTTTGGATTCCTCATACTTATTTATGCCCTCAATTGTATCTATTTCTTTATATATAACATTTACATCGTACTTCTATGTACTCGTATATTAACATGCACCGATGCTTCGAAGATATTTATATATTTTCCATCACTAATGCTATGTTTTTCTTTCCTTCTTCAACAACTTATATTCCAGTTTCATTGCACCAGTCGTTAAAATACTGTAAACTATATTTTTCTGTTAATGTTTTGCACGTCAATGTCTATAATTTACACCTTTGCTTGCCACAAGAATATATAAGATATATCATCACATTATTAATTTTAATATAGTTTCATTAATTTTATTATTTTTAATATAATGATCAAAATAATTACATTTTGACTATTTATTCTCTACGACAATAAATTTTCAAACTGTAAGATTTGATGACAAACACGTAGTCGTCTGTCTTTTAATATTCTTGTTCTATGTTTGCACACTGATTCACTGACCAAGCATTGCTTTCCCAAAAGGGTCGTCAGTTGGCTGCTTGTAATAACATTTTTAGTGAATGAAACAATAAGGAAGCCAATTACTGTTGACATTCATTGTCTGCAATTCCTAGAAGAGACGATGGTACGCAGTTGAACGCAAGTGAACGTCTATTAGGTGATTGAGATCACGAATCGTGAACTTCACAGAAATACTAACGCAGCAATTTCGAAATTTAATGCTGCTGAGGTAACTGTGTTAAGAATAACCGAAACATAGGTAGGTAAATAAATTATAGGTTATAATTTGCACCAATGTAGTTTTCAAGATCAGTCATCTCAACAAAACCCTATGACATTCAAATTAACCGGGCAATAAGTTTATTATTCAAATTTTGATTCGGAAATTTGGTTCACAAGTAATGATCTAGATACAATTATAGAAATGAAGAATCTCACAGTTACTATGAAATAGTTCTGGAGGAACGTGCGCAAACATGTCGATGATTTTACTTTCTCACATAATACTTCGTAATATAGAAGAAGTATTGTAAAGTTGCAGGAAAAGTACTGATTTTTCGACAAAATCACGTTTTGAGACCCTAATACTCTGTATTTTTCTTCGTCGATATAAAGTCGTGTCGATATAAAGAAAATTCACTTCTTGAAAACGTAATATAGTCAGAATCAACGTTTTGTGGATCCATGACATTCTTAAAGTGTTTTTCGGCATTGGCGTCTTTTCGACCGCTCGTCTGTGAATAGCACTAGCGTCTGTACATTTCATAGGATTTTTACCAAAATTGATCTTCTCCGATTTCTCGGAGGTCGCGACTCATCGAAGTTCAAGCGAATACATTAATTTATGGAGGTAGGTACTTTTGAGGAAGCTCCAACAACATTTAAATTTTTTTTCAAATTGCTTAAAATCTTTTATAACGTTTTGCTTGAAGAGAGGAATGCACAGCTATAAAAAATGTGCAGCTGTGATTTATTAAAATTCCTGGTTTCCAAATTTCCAAAAGTTAAAAATTTGTTTAACCTCCTTCGGCATCTATAGTATTAAAGATATGACTTTCTGTTTAAAAATATGAGTAGTTTTCCGATAATTTTGAGTTTAAAGAGTTTTTTAAATACTTAAAATGTATACATATAAAATTGTACAATTGTATGATAAATCAATTCTGGAATAGTAGAGCTTTAAATTATTTCATATTTTCAATATGTATCAACATTGGAGTAATTTTAAGCAAATATTATTTTTACTGCCCACAATGCCTTTTTATATTTATATACTATACATTTATATACTCAGTCTCCAAAAGTGCAATTTTTTCATTCATCTGTACACATGTGATAAAACTTGCATAATTGGGATAATAATTTCTCCATGATAGTCGACAAATACATTTCGATACGTGTTAACATAACCAATAATATGAAAATATATTAAAACTGCATTGTCAACAAACATTTAACTCGACTTTTAATGTATTTCATTTACGAGTAGAAAGAAACACCCAAAAATACTATAACTAAAATTTCATTTCTGAATATGATTAATTTTCTAGAAAGATAATTATTTCATTAAATTATTATCCTTTCTTACCTGAAGCAAAGAAACTATTCTGGTTTTCTGGGTTAAATCTTATATATATATATATATATATATATATATATATATATATATATATATATATATGTGTGTGTGTGTGTGTGTGTGTGTGTGTGTGTGTGTGTGTTTCGGGCACAGGTCAATAGGAGATTGGGGGAAGGCAACAATTATTTGTGAGAATACGACTAATGTGAAAAACGTGTAATGTACACATGAAAGGACAAGGTATGAACTAAGTGCTTGGACACTTGACGACACAACAAAGATTGTGTTTCACACATTTATTACGATATTTGAAATGTACCATATAAGTATTCACAACATTCCAAAAGCCTTACACCTCTACCCACTCTAAATGCCCTATCAAGCAGATACTCGGATACAGATCGTCACGTGCGTTGCACATCACGCGCCTTACTGTAAGTCCTCGCATAAACTCTCCTGTCCATCTCGTGACTGTCCGGTATGCGAGGGCATTGTATCCAAGAGCTTCCACCAATTCCCTGCGACATTCTCGGGAATTTCTAGGATAGAGAACGTGTGTCTTAGTGTGTGGTTGCTGCTCGAAACGGGTTACAGCCATCTCGCACGGCTGCAGACAACATTGCTCTCGTTGATAATAGAGACACCCACAGAACCGTCTGTTGTTGTGAACACACATTAGAACAGCATTTATTTCACGCGACAAATAAAACTGTGTTATCCGATAACACTCCTTTTGGAAAAACAAAATAGTTGCAATAACTTCTGCTCCAACCATCATATATATATATATATATATATATATATATATATATATATATATATATGTTCTCTCATATGTCCTCTCGGGTGGCACATGGAAAATGCTTTAGCTTCCTGTGAGGCGTTCTTGGGTTTAAATTTCGGCCGGGTCAAAACTGAAGCTGTAGCTTTCTAATATAAATTGTCCCATTTCCTACAGCTGTAAGACTAAAGAAAGCTCAGACAGACCAAATTAGCTTTGTACGGTGAAGAAGATATGTCGGGCTCACCACGTGTCACCATTGTTTACAGGTTTGGATAATAAAAACAGTGCTTTTTCCGATTTGCGGTGTTGGAAGCCTGACCCTGTTTTTATTACCCACACGGATGGAACATACATAGGAAGAAATATGAAATAATGCGATCTCACCAGAGAATTTCTGCAAAATTTTGCCACATTGGCGTGACGATTAGCGTCTGCGGTCACTCATTGTTATTGATAAAAGAGCGCGAACCCACTGCAAACAAACCAACACACGAGTGTCTATATGCAAACATTTAATTTGTCATTAATTCATTGCTCTTTCATAAGTGAGTTCAATTATATTTTATTATTTTTTTGCAAATAATACTACAATTAATTGACTACATATCGTGTACGACCGGCCTGTATAGTCGAGGTCGCTAAGTCTGGAGGGTCCTGGTTCCTTTGGCTCACCCCTGGTATGGCTCGACACGTGTGTGTATGAGTGATTTCATCTCGTCTTCATAAATGTTTGTATGTTTCATGCTGTTCTTATGTATTGCCCTTACCCTTATATGTTACCCTGAAATATATAAACTATTGTTGCAAAAATCACAGTGGTCGCTATAGAATCGGAGCAAAAACGACGCGACCTTAAATAAAAAATGTAAGGTTCAGTCAACTTCAAAAAATTAAAGAAGGCGGAAAGAAATAAAGACACAATCTCCATTAAAAATGAACAACATACAGTTGCCTGATGTAAAGGCAATTAAATTGCTGGCTGGTGTTTTGGTAATAAAAATTCAGTGAAATCTCAGCTAAATTAAATTATGTTACACATTCAGAATTCTTTCAAATTCTGTCAACCTTCGTGCGGCTCGTTTCGAGTATCTTTCGAATGTACATTTCTGATTGGGATATGACATAATATTGTGGTAAAACATTCTATACTACTGACTACCCAGACTTCTAGTCTATACACAAATGTACAAATCATAAGCAAATGCCATTCACGTGATTGAGCTTGGAAACATGCCACTGCCTTGCCTTTTATATACGCATCAGTAGTTTTGAAAATTAATACAGCTGAAATTAATACAGAAGGCTGGGAACATATTTTAATGCAAGACAGATATTATTATAAAACATGTCGTAGTAATCATGTTCATCAGGTGTCAGTATCTACAGCTCACTACACGAAATCTACTAATACAAAACTTACATAACTTTACAACACATTGCAGATGACATTAAACAACTGAAATCGATACAAAAATTTCAGTGCCAGCCAAAATCGTTTTGCTACGTTTCTGTCCCTGTGCAATTAGAGACAATACTGATCGCCAAAAAGAAAAATATTTATTTAACAATAATGTATACTACTAATAAATAATTGTACATTATAGATTTAAAAAGACTAAATATGCCTGTAACAATTCACGTTCTTCAGGTTCTGGGTGATGAAACCCGGTATCGACCACCTTTTTGTCCAGTTTCCCTGGTCCAATGAGTAAATGCTGAGGTAGCCCCTTGTTTCGCGTGTAAACATAAATGGAGCTCCTCCTCGCTAACGTTTTGTTGAAATATTCTTTTGCATATTGTGTTAGTAGTACTGTCGGGGATTTGGGTTGCTATGTTGTTAAAAGTATTCAAAACTTCAAACATGGGCTCGGGGGCAAAAATTTCTAGCCTTTAAAATGTTGCTAACCTTGCTTTGTTGGTACTTTTATTTCTCATTGAACTATTTATGGGTAAAGGGCAGTGAGGAGATTCTTGTACTCACGAAAACGTGCGCAGATGTACTTTTTTCCCGATACGTCACATACAGTCGTTACTGTTGTTTGGCGTAAATAAAACAAATCACACGGCTCGGGCGGTTCGCAATTGATTGTCACATCTACCAAGGAATTCAAGACATTAGATGACATTCTTCTTTATCAACAGTTGGTATGGTATTGCCATCTTAAATGAATAGACTAAAAAATCTTCGTTCGAGAGCATAAACCGTGACGTCAGTACCTCCGTTGGTAAGTGAAACTCCTATGTAAAAAGGTTCAATTTTTATTAGAATATGTGACATTAGTTCTTCTCAAATTGGCTGATAATGTTCAATTTTGAGCCATGATATCACAAAAACTATTGTACTAACTTAGCATGGTTTTTCAGGCCCGTATTTTTATGTTAAAATGTTTGTTCTTTGCTAGCTCATAATTTTAAAAATAACCATAATGAGTATCTCTACGTTTCTATTTTTGCT